CATTATTTGAATGTTTACAACTTAAATGCACAAAACTGCCACTAGCAGCGTTGGTGTCAAATCGCCTCTACTCATCGGCTCACAGCGAATAATAAGGTGGAAAAGTAGAATATTGAGAAAGAATCAGGAACATGGTAAATTGATCTATAAAATGTAATTGATGGTACGTAGTCAGTTATTGGTCTGATGTTGTTAGATACTGATATTAAGATCTATCATATCATATATTGTTTTATATTTTATTCAACATCAGACCAATAACTGACTACGTACCATCAATTACATTTTATAGATCAATTTACCATGTTCCTGATTCTTTCTCAATATTCTACTTTTCCACCTTATTAAATGGATAATACTGTCACAATATGTAATTGTTTATTAAAACTTATTCGCTAAAAATTGTACAATGGGAATTCACTCTATAAAATATTGCGGTTACCATAACTCCAAAATAAATTAAAATCAAAAAAAATATCATTTATCTAATTGGATATGTTATCAAAATTTAAATTTTTAATCTTAAGTTGTAAGTATTGAAATATTCATTTTGTTTACATATAATAATTATAATAAAATTACAGTTTTCTCCTGAAGAATTGTAGAGTTTTATTTCATACAGACCAATTGTTGAGACTACAAATAATATTTAACACAGTACGGTCGAGAATATTTTGATATATATATATATATATATATATATATATATATATATATATATATATAATATATATATATATATATATATATATATATCTTCTTCTTCTTCGCGTGCCATATCAGAACTATTCGACGTTGGCGATCACCAATGAGAAGGCTTCTCGATCTTCTGCAATATGGAATAATTGTCCTGCATTTGGTATCTGAGTCCATTCACGAATGTTTTTTAACCAAGAAACTTGTTTTCTTCCTACACCTCTACGGCCCTCTATTTTGCCTTTAAGGATCAGTTGTAAAATTTTATATCGACTTCCCCTTACTATATGTCCCAGATAAGACATTTTTCGATGTTTAACAGTCTCTAGCAGTTCTCTGTCTTTGTTGACGCTCCTTAGTACTTCTTCATTAGTTTTTCTTGCTGTCCAAGATATCTACAGCATTCGTCTATGAACCCACATTTGAAATGTATATATATATATATATATATATATATATATATATATATATATATATATATATATATATTAATATAAGATATAAGGCAACCATATATGTATTTCTGACTATTGGTCGTCTTTAGTACCGCGCAGCAAAGTTAGAAATGGAGCATATTAACTTGCGAAAGGATCATATTATACACATATTTATATTTTTTCCTTTGCTGCGAGTGATGCCGATACTTTCTACCTTTCTTTTACTATTAACCCGCATTAACACACGTTTGGCATTCCTTTTCTCAGGTAGCTTAGCTTCCTTCGTGGATAAACATAATATATTGGCATACCGCAACTGCCAAATTATTTATATTTTGACTACAGAACTTAAATTGTTTTTTTTTTACTTTTTTGTGCAGAAAGTTGGTTATTTTTTAGTTGTGTTAATAATAATATTGTTGTAGGTAATGCTGTATTGGAAAGTCTGGAGCTACCCGAGTGAAAAGAAAAATTTCTATGCAGTAAGCATTTTGACCAAAAATATCTAAATGCAAAATATTTACCCGCTACTGCTATACCAAAAAAATATAGTGAGGTAGAAGAGGAAGGTTCGTTAACGACACCACGCGTTTTACATACATATTCGATTACATTGCAAAACAACCATTAACTAGTGCCAATACTGTTTCGCAGAGTGATAATTCTGAACTTGAGGATTTTGTTGATGATCTTATAGATATGCCGTTATTACCATTGGTCAGGAAAAAAGATTTCATAATTATCTTACACTTTTGTTAAAAGGTCTGACTAAGTGTTTCTCATCTTTATACAGTATTTTTGTGCTAATAGTTGTCTATGTAATTCTAATGGGTTTCATTGCACTTTGCTAGCATAACGTTTGTTGAAGTTGATACCATTGCAGTTAAACAGATTCTTACGTATCTGTATTGTACACGATCTATTATTTTTAAATTAGTATTGCTGATTCATACATATATCCAACTCATACATTGCTTATTTTAGTTCATGAAAACAATGTTACAATCAATTTCTATAACTATTAATGTAAACAATTTTGTTTTGTTTTTTTACCTTGAATTGTTATGTGTTATAAACCTTAAAGTTTTATATAACTATTAAAATAATGCGAATTTAATTTTTGCAATATCTATCACTTTGTAATTTAAAATTATTTCATTAATAAACAGCTCAGATCGGGCGAGTTGATTAAAAAAAAAAAACATTCTCATTAATGTAAGCAGAAATAGAGAAATGGTGTGTATATTATAAAATACATAAATAAATAAAATAAAGGCTACTATTTATTAAAGTTTTGTTAATTATTATTCCTTTTATTATCCCAACACATAGATTAATTTGTCATTAAATATGTGTTGCCTCTTATTGTGGCATATCGATCTGTTGATTTGTTTCAAAACCTATGCCCATCATCAATCAGTCAAGGCCTATGTCCAGCAGTGGACGCGATTGACTGATTGATGATGATGAAGCAGAAATAGAGAAATGGTGTGTATATTATAATATATATAAATAAATAAAATAAAGGCTACTGTTTATTAAAGTTTTGTTAATTATTATTCCTTTTACCCCAACACATAGATTAATTTGTCCCCAAATATGTGTTGCCTCTTGTTGTGGAATATCGATCTGTTTATTTGTTTCAAAACCATTATCAAAAAACCATTCCCATAAATTTACTATTTTCAATCGTCATTTTAAAGAATAAAAGATTGAAAATTTAATTTTCTCAAAACATACATAAAACCATTGTTTAAAAAGATTTTCTTTTTTAAACAATGATAAAACTTAAGTCTTGACTAAAAAATAAACCTTCTCATAAGTGTTCTAAGACGATAGCAATCGAGTATATTTCAATTAAATATTTAATCCTTTTCTAACAAATCATAAAACCAAATTTAATATCTGGTAAACTAATAAAAATTAAAAAAAAAAGGTAGCATTTACCTACTTCATTTAAATAGATTACTGACCGATTTATATTTAGCAAGTCTCAAAGTATAAAAACAATTTGAAATATTCGCTCGAAATAGTCAAGTTATCTTTCATAAGACGCATACAACGATAACAGCAATAAGCATTTTATTTAAGTCTTATAATATATTCTTTACAATCTGGCATCCGTGTACAGGTTCGCATTAGTTATCAGACAGCTAAAAATATACTTAAGTAGAATTCTGCAGTGAATTAAGTTTCTGTTAATAGTTTTTAAAATTTATGACTAGAGGCCGCCACATGACGGAGGATTAAAAGTCAAACTTTTGTTCCATAAGGATTGTCTAACTAGTCCTATTTAAACAATGTCTATATATTATACGTCATTGGGTTTTATAAGCAAATATTCAATACTAGGATGCTTGTGCTTCGTCAACTGTCACTTGCTTCTCGATTGTCAGTCACTACAAAGTTTGCCAGGAGCGATTAATTACAGGGACCCGATCCGTCAACTGCGCATGTGCGAGACAACTGCGTTCGAAATATTTCGAACCTTCAAATGAAAATGTTAAGCGGTATCTTGCCCTGTCGAATAAAAATTGTTTTAAATAGTTTCCTGTTTACGTAAGTTGTAAATATGTCAGCGAACTGTTTTGAATGTGGTAAAATTTTCTCAAATCAGTTTTTAACTTAAATAAACATATAAAAAATATACATGGTAAATTTTCTACGCCGATGCAATATGCGGAAAATGTGCATTTAATAAGTGTCTGGCATATTTCCAGTAGCTTTTTTTCAAACCGAAAGGACTCATTTATTAATGAAGTTTATTTTACAGAAATTAAAGTTGTTGGAAAAATACAAACACTCTGTTTTATGTCGGACATTACTTAAGTTTTTTATGGATGAGTATTAAAGAATTAAGCTATTTTAAACAAGTTTTAGAACGAGACAACTTTTGAAAATATCCACCTGAAGAAAACGATTTACGCCAACCCATATAAGATTTACCAGAATGTCATTTAAATTTAGTTCATTAATAATTTCTTTACTTTCAATAACAATAAATCAATTTAAGTTTATAATAATACTTATATAATAATTTATTATAATCCCTATTTTCACTCATAAACGTGTATTACGTTAAATATTTTAAATTATCTGGTAAGTTAACAATCTCCATATGCTACTACAAAATAAACAATGTTGAACCGTTAATATCAAAGTCGTCAATATACATTAGATTAATGTGATTTTCTTTCTTATTACTGAGAGTTCAAGTTATTTATTCTCTATTTTAGTTATGAATGTAACAACTATGTACATGTAGTAATAAATATTTTAAAATTTCCGATTTGTATGCCTAAATAGTTTTTATAAATTTGCTCAGATTTTTTTAGTTTGGAGATTGTCACTTTTGATGTCATTTCAAAGATTGCACATGCGCAGTTGACGGATCAGGTCCCTGTAATTAATCGCTCCTAGTTTGCCAGTGGGCGCGGCTCGAATTGGTAATGAAACAGAAAATATTTCTACTGTCTATCAACGGATAAATGTTAGTAAAGACGCTTCACAAATAATACTGATGACTTTTTGCTGTTGTGTTTAAATCCTATGAGGACTTACATGGCATAACAGCCTAATCTTAATGTCAAAAAATAGCATGCGCAATGGGCTGTGAAAAATCAGTGCTTGTGTTATTTCTAAATGACTATATTTCTATTTTAAAAAACCCTTAAATACTAATAGATGAAAGTAAATTTAAAATAAACGCTATTATCTCAAGACAGATCTCTAATGACAAATGACAGATGGCAATAACACTTTTTAATGTAGCCAACATAAACGACGAGGCAAAATGACATCTTTGCTGCAATCAAACAAAATTTAGAATGAAACTATTTTGCTATTTTTGCTGAACTTAAATCATTTTTAACTGATTACTTTAATAAAGAAAAATGCCATTTATACCAATAAAATCAAATTAACACCATCGTATAAAAGTTTTTTAATCGTTAAAAAACAAAACGTCACGAAGCAAGCACCTTCGAATAAAACAGAAGACTAGAGATAGATGAGAATTTTTGGTAGTTCAAGGGATAAAAAAGCTCGTTTTTTATAGATACATCTTTTTATTACTTATCACGTTGATCCATTAGAATCATAACCGCACGGTTACTCTATTTGTAGAATCATCTTTGGAAGACAACCAGAGTTTAGTACTTTCGCATGATGAGGAAGAAAACGAGCAAAAAGTTTAAAAAAACAGAAAAGGAAAACACGATTTTACAAGAAAAAAGATTATGCTTAAAAACTTTTTGTATCCCTTGAAGCGCACCTTCATTAACACAGACAAACCTTTAAAAGGGTGTTTTTTAGAGACTAGCATTTTCAGTCATAGAAATGAAGCTTTCGATTACTTCGTTTATTGGTTTTAACTCGGAATCGATTTGTACGGGAAGAATTTGTTCCCTCAACGTCTTCCACTCCCTCATTTTATACATGTAATGGATCATATTAGACGTGTCCAGTAATTTAGTGTAAATATTTATCAACCCCCTGTAATCGTATTCCAGTCCGCTGTAGGCCTCGCCGAAAACTTTGAGATTTATATCTATGGAACGTAGATACAACTTTTCTGCGTCTTTGTGTCGTTTCATGTGATAATTGTAAAGAGAGGCCAGATGGCCCACGCTAAGACCCACCTAAAAGAGCAAAAAACGTTTTATTAATAACAAATGCATATTAAAAATACTCAAAAATAATACAAAATGTTAAATACAAACATTTATGTGTAATACACTCCGCGTCATCGAAAACGGGCCACCCCAAATATTTAAAATATTTTCGAAATTATTATTTATTGCTACAAAATTAAGTATTTATTTTTTCGTATATTGAATCAATAACTCGTTTAGTATAAAATTTCATCATTATCGTAAAACATCAATCAAAAATAAAAAATTTAAGAAAAATAGGAAATTTATTGAAAAAATCAACTTACAGTTTTTAAATCAACAATGAACTGTATATTAAAAATAAAGCTGGTATCCATTTTCAGTAATGGCTATTGCCACCTCGATTCTGGATGACACTCCTCATTCGATTTGGCATGGAATTTATAAAGTTTTGGATATCTCTTTGTGGAAAAGTGGCCGATTTCTCAATGAGTGCCATCTGGAGCTTTCCAGGTGTTGTTGGAGCAGATATGCGACGCCTAACGCGACTTTTTAGCAGGCTCCATATATGCTCAATAGGATTTAAATCGGGGCTTTGAGCAGGCCAGTTTATTTTTTGAATACCAACCTCGTCAAGGTACTCCGTTCCTATCCTTGCCGTGTGTGGTCTCGCATTATCCTGCATTAGCAGGAATTCGTTGCCAATAAATCCAGCATAGGGCATCACATGATGTTGTAAGATTTCCGTTATGTACCTTACTGCTGTTAACGCACCTCTGTCGATCACGACGAGATCCGTATGCGCATCAAAAGAAATCCTTGCCCAAAACATTACTGAACCACCACCAAAAGTAACCCGTGGTGCCCGAGTGCAACCAGCGAAACGTTCTCCAGCTCGTCTGTACACCTTACTACGTCCGTCTTTACCATAAATAGACATTCTACACTCATCCGTAAACAATACTTTTTTTCAATCGTCTGCTGTCCAATTGATGTGCTCACAGGCAAAATCTAGTCTTCGACTTTTGTGAGCTGGGGAAAGTAAGGTCCCGTTGCTGGACTACAAGCTGTCAAACCTTGCTCCCTTAATCTTCGCCGAATAGTAGAAAGGCTGATTGCTGGTCCTTGAGCTTGCTGTAAATGGCCTTGAAGCATTCTAGCGGTTTGGGTCCGATTCCGTAATGCAGCAAGAAGGACGACGCGATCTTCCCTAGCGGTTGTTTTCCTTTTTGGACCCGTACCAGGTCGTCGTTGGTGAGATCCTGTGACAATAAATCGTTGCTGGGTCCTTTGTACAGTCGAACAACTAACATTCAATTGTCTTGCAACTTGTCTTTGACTTAATCCACTTCCCAGTAACGTTACAATTTCAACCGATTTTTGAAAATTCTCCATCGTTATTAACTGAAGACTACTTCACACTAAGTCGGCTACTGTAATACTGAGATGCGTTTAAAACTCATTAGAACCCTTTACAATATCGCTTCCTCAAAAATTAATCAAGTTGTAAACAACTTTTTCCCAAAATTGTTTTGTTTTATAGGTTCTACGAATATCCTCAATCCAGTTACAGGGTCGTTTTGCTTTCGCAACAACCCATTTAACTTAAATAACCCAAGACACATTAAAAATACAATAATGTTAATTCAATATACAACAAAATAAATGCATAATTTTGTAGCAATAAATAATAATTTCCAAAATATTTTAAATATTTGGGGTGGCCCGTTTTCTATGACTCGGAGTGTATATATGTAATAATTTATTTGTCACATAAAAACAAATGTACTGACACAAAAATTGATATTATAGTTAAAAATCTACAACATTATGGTATGACTTTATAATTAAATATTTTTCAAAATTTTCAACTAAAAACTTTTGCCTTCTATCGTTATTGTTTCAACTAAAGCATAATTCAATAATCGATGTATAGAGAGTTACATTGTCGAACTAAACAATAACATGAAGAAAAATACTATATAAAAAAGTAAAATATATCAAAAACTCGATAGTTTATTGAGAATGAGAATTGACCTTACAGAATTAAGTGCCTTAAATGATGCCTGACTATCTGTGAAGATGGTAACTGAACAGAACGTTCTTTCCTGCCTTTCTATTTCTTCCACGCAGTGATGGATTGCCGTTATTTTAGCCTGGAAAACTGTCACATCCTTAGATAGTCAACTGTAAGACACTATATACAGAGTCAACATCTTACAATAGACGAAAAACTGGAATCGTTCAGGGGACGTGTGTCATTTCTTCAATACATACCGAATAAGCCACCGAAGTATGGCTTAAAAGTATTTGCGCTAGTGAATGCCAAAACTTACTACTGTCTAAACATAGAAGATTACGTCGGCACACAGACAGAAGGACCTGTCCGACAAAGTAACAATCGGCAAAACATAGTTAAACGTAATATTACTTTCGATAACTGGTTTACCAGATATCCGCTCATGATTAATCTACTTCAGACTCATCATCTTACATCGGTTGGGACGGTTAGGAAGAACAAAACGCCAATTCCAACAGCACTTCTGAGCACACGAGGAAGAGAAATTCGCAGTTCAAAATTTGCCTTCAAAGAGGATATAACGGCTGTCTCATATGTGCCAAAAAAATCAAAAAATGTAATCCTCTTTTCTACATTACATCATGATAATACTAATATTGAAGAAACTGGTGAAAAGAAATTACCTGAAATTATCGACTTTTACAATTCAACCAAAGGCGGTGTAGACACATTGGATGAGCTATCTGCTAATTACAGCGATTCAAGAAACAGTCGTTGTTGGACTTTGACACTATTTTTTTTCGTTTTTGAATACAGCTGGAGTGAATGCTCAAGTTATATATAACCCAAATTCAAAAAACTATAAATTAAGAAGATGAATTTTTTGAAAGAACTGGGAATGCAGCTGGTTTCTGAGTTTCGAAACCAACAAAGATAAAACCCTTCCTTGCGTCGACCACTACGTGATAATCAGCAACCAGAGGTACATTAGTTGGGACCCAAGCGATATAGGACAAGCAGTAATATTCTGTTTGTCCAAGAAATAAAGATAGGAAGACTTTTTACATATGCATGCGATGTGATACTATAATTTGGAACACGCAATAATGACGTGTTCAAATTGCGACAATTTTGAGGAGTGGTAACTTTTTTTATTTTTCAATATATTTTAGCGAACATTTTTTTCTTTAGTTTGAAGAATCTTAGGCTATAAGTTTATTTAGAGTTGTGTGATCAATAAAATTTTCATAATATCTGAGTGTATTATTGTTCACTCGCGTTTTTTGACTAGCATAATTGCAATATGTTGGATAAATGATATTTACTGATGATTTAAATAGACTTTTAGAGTACCATATTTAATTTATTTGAATCATAAATAAGTAAAAAAACAAGATTAACCATTTTAAATGATTAAATTTAAAAATTTTATTTTCCTGCGTTAGTTTAGTTTGGGGTATGACATGCCCCGGAAAGCCTCTCGTGCTAATTTATATAGGCACACTAACGCAGTGTTAAAATATATAGAAATTAACAAATTAAAAAATACGGATACACTTGAGAAAGTCACTCTGATCGAAACAGCTGTAGTGATAATAATTTAAAATAAATTTTGTGGAAATGTCGAAAACAAAAGTGTTCAGTGTTTTATTGTCAGATAAAATGAATTCCATCAGGTGACGGTGGCCAGTGATACTCAACCTGCGGCCGTGCGACGTTTTTTATGCGGCCCGAAGGCGAAATAAGAATTTTTGACTTTATCTACCTATGTATTTATAAAATTTTAAAATTTAAAAAATACGATTATATTGGATCTTTTTGTAATTCATTATAAAAATATTATTAAAAATTCCCTAATCAACAAAGTCTAATCTTTAATATAAAAAGATCTGCCCCTGTGGTGTTCAACCGGGGATTTCCTGAAGTTGACATTGCTATAGTATGTTTGCATTTCATGTCGATTTGGAACCAGTTCAATTATTATATAAACATATCAATTTCATTCAGCGCTTCCGTTTACACGTGTATCGTCTTTTTCAAATTTTGTCAAGTGAAGTGTGTTTATATATATATATATATATATATATATATATATATATATATATATATATATATATATATATATAATATATATATATATATATATATATATAACCTAGAGCTATGATTAATATTATTACTAAAATTAATAATAAACTCACCAGTCTTCCGGGTTGAACCGCGTCGTAATCCATTTTGCCAAGCTTTCGGCATCCTCTCTGATGCCTTCCTCAGGGCTTTCGAGGTCTCAGTCTCCCGAGCCCCCAGACACTACTACACTGTTCACTATTCACGGCACGATCACTACTGAATAGTGCCGTGAATAGTGAACAGTGTAGTAGTGTCTGGGGGCTCGGGAGACTGAGACCTCGAAAGCCCTGAGGAAAGCATCAGAGAGGATGCCGAAAGCTTGGCAAAATGGATTACGACGCGGTTCAACCCGGAAGACTGGTGAGTTTAATATTAATTTTAGTAATAATATTAATCTTAGCTCTAGGTTTTATTGTACTAACCGCGGAAATCTTTCCGAACATATATATATATATATATATATATATATATATATATATATATATATATATATATATATTTCGGTTTTAAAAACGTTCTCCTACGTCTTCCGATGCCTAGTCGCCATTCACTTCGGTCCATCCAAAGGTCTTCATCTAACTCTCTTTCTCTCATACTTCAATTTATGCCTTCTCTCCAACTAAGGCGGGGTCTTCCTCTTTTTCGTCTAACATGAGGGGTCCACGTTAGGATTTGTTTCGGGAGTCGTTCTTCGGACATTCTTTGTACGTGTCCATACCATCTAAGCTGTTTGGTACTAATGTCATCTACTATTGTGTGTTTCAAATTCATTATTTCCCTAATTCTGTTGTTGGTTACCCTTTCTAATCTTGATTTTCCTGCTGAGCGCCTCCAGAAATCCATTTCTGTTGCTTCAAGTTTTCTCTTGTATCTTTCTTTTATTTGCCATACTTCACTGCTGTAAGTGATTATACTCTGAACAATTGTATTGTATATTCTATGTTTGTTGTTGTTTGATATTGCCTGGTCCCACAGTATGCTATTGAGAAGGGTAATTGCTTTTCTTCCCTGGTTGTTTCTTTCTTCTATCGTCCGGTCTACGTTTCCTTCTTGTGTGATGGTCATACCCAGGTATTTATATGCGTCGCAATGTTTAATAATTGTGTTTCTTTAAGTGTAAGTGTGTTTCTTTACTTATAATAAATGTTTTTTTGTTTACTACAGGTAATCCAGGATAATGGACTTTCATTTCTTCGAAATATCTTTTATAGTTAATTAGTCGAAATGTTTTAATTATTATATTTTGTACTTTGAAGTATATTAAGCAGACCAATATTATTTTCAATTTTACATAGCATAACTATATATATATATATATATATATATATATATTATATATATATATATATATATATATATGTATATGTATATGTATATGTATGTATTTAATCTAGATTGCGGCCCGCAAGCTGTGGCAATAGCTACTATGCGGCCCAGGGAAAAAAAAAGGTTGAGTATCACTCTAATCCATTACTTATATAAAAATAAAGTTAATTTTGGAAAAAAACTTAAAGAAATCAAAGTTAACACAGTTCTTACTTACCTCATAATCATCTACACCTAATAATTCCTCCTTAATCGCTATCGCCCTTAAATGCATCTTCTCCGCTTCGTCATACATCTTCATACTTTGAAATAGCCTGCCCAAATTTCCATAATGTTTCGCAGTCTGAACGTTCTTCTCTCCGAAGGCTTTGAACGATAAAGTGAGGGCAGTTTTATGTAAAATGTGTGCTTCTGTAAAATACTGAGTTTGTAACTGAATGTTGTTTCTTTCATCTAACGCTATTTCTTCTAGGATGAGAGCTTTGACCCGTTTGACGGAAGCCAGAAGTAAATGGTCTGTAGGTAAAATTCTTTCCATAATCCTGATGGAACGTTCCACGTTTTCCCTACACAAATATATTTATATTAATTCTGTTAAATAGTATATTCCAACAGCCCGATAAGCACAATGATGATCAATAAAAATGATATGTAGTGTGCCAATAAGAAGTGGGACGATCGAATATTTCGCGAAATTTATATTGGGAGTGAAAAACATAAAAACGTGTTCAATATTTTTCAAAAATATATCGAAAAACATCAAACATGGACCCGCCCCTTGGGGTCAAAACTTATCTTTTGCGGTTTTATCATGGACATATAAATAAAGATGGACTAGGCATGCCCTGCACTCTGTTCACCTAAATTTGAAGTCGAAAAGTTTATAGGCGCGGGGGAAAGAGACGAGGTGATAGACTGTGACATTACCTTTTAAGCCAGCGGCGTACCTTCCAATATTTGAAAGTTATTTGAAACAGTTTTTTCACTTGAATAAATAATGACTATTGATTTGATTGTTTTTATTTTTAGTATCGTAAACATATGAAATATTTCGAATAAGTGAGAAACAACAAACGGTGAATAATTTTAATTTTCAGTGTATAGAAATATATTTATAAAAATTAATTTACACAAAAGAATAAAGATGGAGTAAATAAAATCGTAAAGTAATTTATATAAAAATTCTTCCCCAAACATTAACCTGTTCAGGGTATTGAGTATGTTCTTCTCTTATCCAGTGAGTGATAAGTTGAAAAAATATAGTGAATTATGGTGTATAACCAGCTTAATTGTTAGTTGGCAACAGTAGTATGTCACGTTAGACATAGCAGTAGACAGAAGAAAGATAAAAATTCAGGAATATGTATTTAAGAAAATATTAATAAACGTAATAAAACCATAAACCATTGTTTAACAAAACATAAACAACAATCCACATATACAACAATATATAAAACACATTAAACCTTATGGAACGGGTAGGGTTCTAAAATAGAAATATGATTTATTGTCACTGAAAATTATACAATGCTTACAAAAAGTAAAAAAAAAACAACAATAACAATTAGGTGCTCGAAGATGCGTTTTATATATCTATATTTTCCTTGTTGTCTTCATTGTCATTTAAACATCTAGAATATTCAATTTATGTACATTAAAGAAAAATATTAAAATTGCTTTAAGATTTAAATAATCTCATACAAAATTTAGCCAAAACTCACCTCCTTTTTAATAGTTTAGGAGATATTAGATTTTACATTAAAGCCCAAGTCTGTCTCCATATTACATTCTTCAGTATCAATAAAACTTCTAAAATATTTTAATATTAAAATGAAATAAGTAATCAAAATCCACACTTAGATTTTATTTGTAAATTTAATAAACAAATTCGATACAAACCCACCTTTTTGAAGGTCCATAAAAATCATCCTTATCAATACTATTGGAAGCTGTTACTTTATTTTCCATATCGTTTGTAGAACTAAAACATTGAAGTATTAAAAAAAAAGAAAAAAGACATGCTATCAATATTATGGAATATGCTACGAGTATGCATTATATTTGGTTAAATTTAATTTTCGTACAATGAACATAACCTATAGATATGTTTGACGTTAAATGTAAGCTTAATATACGTCAGTGTTGCCATATACTCAATTATTTCACACTCTCACATATAAAATTATGAGTAAGACTTTATATGAAATGAAAATTTAAAATTGAAAATTACATATATAATTAAAAGCATTAAAATTATACCTATAAATATTATAAAATAAAATTATATCTTGCATTTCTACATTTAAAAATACTTATATAATAAAAACCATTAAAATTATGCTTAAGGTGAAAATTAATAGTTTAGAAACTTTACAAACTACAGAATAAAGTAAAGTTAAATGAAAATAAAAAAATTAGGTTAAACAAAAGAATACACTAAATATTTAGCTATATTTAAAGTAAAAATACTATTTTATGAATGCTTTTTTAATATGAATTCAAAGATTGTGGCTTCTCATGACAAAACATTATATAAAAATTAATAGGAAAATTCCAGTAGTTGGCTGTATACCATCGTTTAAAAAACTTATACAGAAGTAAAACACTTCACATTTTATATTTAGGTATATACCTAAATACAAATGTGAAGCATTTTACTTCTGTATAAGTTTTTTAAAACATATATAATTTCGTCAAAGTATCTTTCTATTTTAAAAACTCCTATACTTTATACAAAAAAATTTGGCAACACTGTGACGCACAAACATATAATTCGATGCCAAGGTTATGTTCATTGTACTCAAATTCAATTTAGCCTTATATTTATTATACTCTGTATGGTAAATTACATAGAAATTCGTTATAGTTACCTTGGTTCTGGTGATTTATGGTAAATATTTATTGAAACAGTTCCTTTCCTCAAATTAACCCGTCCACTTGGTTGTATAATTAGATCATCTTAAAGTGTTCTGAGCAGACCGTAGCAGTTTTGGATATGTGTTCTTTGTTTAAGCCAAACACAGACAACCACATATCCAGCAGCAGTTGATTCTTTAGTAGGAACCTGCATATATTTCATTGAAATTAATATATTTATAGCAATTATAGTGTAGATTAGAAAAAAAAATAAATGTATTTATAATACTACAAAATTAAAATTCAATTCATGTCAAGCATTAAGTAATTAATATCACATCCCTGTACTACGCCTATGGACATAATTCCAATGTTTATAATACTTACGAATGAAATGACAGTTCTGGATGTAAATATGAAGTTTTCCTGTATACAACACAGTTACGCACCATTATTACACTTAACTATCAACTATTTTTCAATTCTAATTTAAAATATATTAACAAATTCACTAAAATGTCACAAATAAGGAAATTATCAACACAAAGGTAAACAATACAACGCCATGTTCTTTTTCGTCAAATCGCTAGGATTGGTTGATATTACTAATGATGCCAAGTTTTACAAAAGTTAAGATTATCACAATATATTTTCTTTTAATAAATTAAAAAATTAATTTTTTTCTTTTAATTCCTTGATTGCGAAATGAATATATCTAAAAATAGTTTATACTAACTAGATAATACATTTTTACTTATAGATTAAAAATAAATTACACTAAAAATCGAAAATTATTTCGAAGATTGACTCGGAAAAAAAAATAATGACAACGTCCAAATTAGGGATTTGTGCCTATGACTGTGAATATCTCATGACTTCAAGTAAAGATGTAAACAGACCGGTCCATATTTATTGATACGTCCATGGGTTTTATAAATTAATTTATCAAAAGTTGACATTATAACAAAAATAATAAGACCTTCTGAGTTCAAATCGGTGGGCTCAGAGATATAGCTCTTCAAATATAGGGTAAAAAGAGCTCTTTTTTTGACCCTTTCAAGGGTCAAGAAAATAACTTACAGAGTATGAAAAATAACTGAAAGTCGGAAAATAACCACGCCCATGATGCGCATTCGTCATCCGACGGATTTCGCACTCAGCCCAGCGTCCACTTAATATCTACCGTTTATGACGTGAACAAGTCGGTAGAGTCTGCGAAACATTTTTTGTAAGTATAGTGCCGGCAAGCACTCTTGACCACGGCGCAGTAGACGAAATTTGGTTTAGTCCCCACCTCCACGCGAAACGCACTGTACTATGCAACGTGAAAATATCGACTTGAAAATTTTTAGTTGTGTTTTTTACTTTGAGGTGTTAACTTGTGTATTTTCTCCCGTTTACCTGTTGCGTATTCAAATTTATTAAAAGCGGTCAAAAGGTAGGTACTTTATCATAAATTAAAATACATAGGGGTGCATTAAGGAAACTTTAATAAAATGTTTTCATTTCTTTTTTGTTTTGAGACTTAGTTTAAGGTTTTGTGTATATATTGTCTAAACCTTTCGAGGAATTCAGGTACATAAATAAATCCAACTAATTACTAAAAGGAAATCCATGTATAGGTAGGTAGAACCTAATTATTGTTCTATTGTATCTAATTGTTCTTATCTAACCTCATTGCAATTCCTAGTAATCTCTGATTTCTAGTAGTTATGACGTATGGAGAATTCCAAACAAATTATCAATCGATCATTAGCATTCAACAAATCAGTAAACAAATGATCATTATCACTCAAGCAAATTATCCGTTGGACTCTTAATATGAATTTGAATATTATTTAATTTACCGTCCTAAATACCATTATAAATCAATACAAAAATTAATTTGTAAATAATTTTTAAGTAGATACAACTGTTTGGACATTGTAAAAATAAATTATTAAATTAAATGTGTATTAGTTATTCATCCCATAATATTAGTTATATGTCTCAACTCAAAATAAGAAATTGAAAATATAAACTTATAACCAATAATTTTGCAATAAATAATAGGGCTTTTTTCACGTTTAATATCGAAAGTTAAGTTTAAAATAACAAATGAAAGACAGTTTTTAAAAAAAATTGAACAAAAATCATTGAAAATATAAACGAAATGCAGATAAAAATAATTTTTGTTATGCACCATGCAATTTTTTATTTATTACTCAGTCCAACACTGTAATTATTTCGACAATTTCGAAGTTGCAGTCGACGGTAGAACGTTTTAGTTTGGTTAGTATATTTCCACTTACAATAGATTCTTTCTGCCTTTACGTGACTTTTGACTCCTCCTTCACGCAGCTACATGGTCAAGCGTGCTTGCTAGTACCATACGAACCGCAAAGGAGAGTCATTTCCAAATTTACAAATCTGTGTTGTGTACCTATATTAAACATGGAATTTAAATCGAATCTGAAGGAAAAAGTTTTAAATAATCGGACACGGGAAGTGATAGCAATTGTGATTCATTTTATGAGAAAGGAAGCCAACGACAATAAACCGTGTAGATATTTGATAAAAGTGCAGGAGCGTGTGGTATTGGCAACAGGTGTTAGTTCGAATGTTACTCATTTGTAACTCCAAACAAAAAGAGGAAAAAAAGTGCTTCAAAAACGTGCTTGGACGATTTTGATATAGGGCATCTTCGACGTTATTATATATTTTGATATAG